CCCAGGAGTTGGAGGTTGCTGTGAGCTGTGATGCAACGGCACTCTACCCAGGGGGACAGCTTGAGGCTCTGTCTCAAAAAAAAAGGCAAGAGCAGTAGGTGTGATTGCTTAGGAGTATGGAGGGAGAGGGTGGTCAGTAGAACAATTTAACATCAATTAGAGAGGGAAGGCCAGCTGTGCTTGGTCTCATTCCAGGATGAAGAGAAGCAACAGCAGGCCCGTGACCTGTTTGAAGAGTCGGCCAATCAGGGGTGTTTGACCAGCTCATACCTCCTCTGGGAAAGTGACAGAAGAACAGATGTGAGTGAACCCTGGTCTGGGGGGGGGGGAAGAATTACATTGGCCAAAGGCATGGTCTCTAAACTGCCCCTTAGACAAGATTCTGTCAGCAAAAAGGAGGATCCTCTTATAGCTTCTAGCCTCTCTCAGACCTTAGGAACACCTGGTCAGCTGGTTGCACTTGGCATCCCCCAAAATGACCATTGTCATTTGAGGAATAAAAGGTGAAAAGCCAGCATAATTGAGGACTTTCTGGGGAAGGAAACATTTAAGAACCCTGGGGTCTGTTCCTAGTTACGCCTCAGACAACCACATAAAGACAATGACTTTTTCCTGACAGATGTCAGATCCTGGACGATGTCTCCACAGTTTCCGGAAACTCAGGGACTATGCTGCCAAAGGCTGCTGGGAAGCACAGGTAACGTGGGGAGCTGACTGTTCTTTCTTTTCTTTTCTTTTTAAATTTTGTTTTATTTGTATAGACAGAGTCTCACTTTATCACCATTGGTAGAGTGCTGTGGCATCACAGCTCACAGCAACCTCCAACTCTGGGCTCAGCCTCCCGAGTAGCTGGGACCTCAGGCACCCGCCACAATGCCTGGCTATTTTTTTGTTGCAATTTGGCCAGGGCTGGGTTTGAACCCACCACCCTCTGTATATGGGGCTGGTGCCCTACCCACTAAGTCACAGGTGCCTTTTTTTGTGTGGCCATTCTTCTTACAGCCTTGGGGCAGCACTGCCTGGCCTCCCACACAGGAGGTCAGAACTGGGAATACAATGAAACTGGTCTAGAACTGGAGCCAAGTCTTAAAGGAGTTTAGGTTTTCAGTACACAGGGAGAAGAGCCCAGAAATGTTTCATTCTTTGCCCATCTCCCCCCTTGTCTCTAAGCCAGCCAGCTTCTTAATTTTTAAATGCTTCTGGGTTATACCTGCCATCAAAATTCATACCACTCTAAAAAGCTGTCCTGGGCTCGGCACCTGTAGCTCAGTGAGTAGAGTGCCAGCCACATATACTGAGGGTGGTGGGTTCAAACCCAGCCCTGGCCAAATTGCATCAAAAAAATAGCCAGGCGTTGTGGCGGGTGCCTGTAGTCCTAGCTACTCGGGAGGCTGAGCCCAGAGTTGGAGGTTGCTGTGAGCTGTGATGGCAGCTGTGTGGCAGGTTCAAGCCCAGCCTGGGCCTGCTGAACAGCAGTGACAACTGCAACCAAAAAATGGCCAGGCGTTGTGGTGGGGCACCTGTGGTCCTAGCTACTTAGGAGGCAGAGGCAGGGAAAATTGCTTGAGCCCAAGAGTTTGAGGTTGCTGTGAGTTGTGAATGCCACAGCACTCTACCAAGGGTGACATAGTAAGACTCTGTCTCAAAAAAAACCTGTCCTGTAGGCTCAGCATCCGTAGCTCAGTGGTTAGGGCACCAGCCACATACACTGGGGCTGAAGAGTTCAAACCCAGCCCAGGCCTGCTAAACAACAATGACAACTACAACAATAAGAACAAAATAGCCGGGAGGCGCCTGTGGCTCAGTGAGTAAGGCGCCAGCCCCATATACCGAGGGTGGCAGGTTCAAACCCAGCCCTGGCCAAA